TGACCAGCTTGTCATTGCTACCAAAGTCTGTTGTACCCAACACTTCACGACACAATTTTCTTGGGCTGAGAATTACCTTTTGAACAGTACACTACCAATTTCAAACGAGGCTCAAATGAAGCACAGAAGGCTAACTTCACCGGAAACAACGTCAAGTCGATGCGTCTCAGCGTCGCTGCGAGCCTAAAGAAACTCAGAACATCTTACATCGACATCTTATATCTTCACTGGTGGGACTTCGACACCAGTGTTGAGGAAATCATGAACGGATTGCATGTCCTTGTCCAACAGGGCAAAGTTCTCTACCTGGTAACGCATATCAAAAGCCCCTGTCACGTCATTGAGTTATTAAATGTCACTGTATCAGGGTATCTCTGATACACCCGCCTGGATCGTGTCCAAGGCAAATCAATACGCTCGTGATTACGGGAAAACTCCTTTCGTGATTTATCAAGGCATGTGGAACATTTTGGAGCGCTCATTTGAGCGCGACATCATTCCAATGGTCCGCGCTGAAGGTACAGCCGCGGAATTGTGGCCTGAGAAGTCCTATTTAATTAGTTGTCCTATTCAATAGGTATGGCGCTCGCGCCCTGGAATGTTCTCGCCGGCGGTAAATTCCGCACAGACGAAGAGGAGCAGAGGCGCCGCGAAACGGGAGAGAAGGGGAGGGAGATGTTTACCGCAGGTTGGGAACGTACTGAGAATGAAAAGAAGGTGTCCCATGCGTTAGAGAAGGTAGCAAAGGAGGTTGGTGCCAGTCACATCACCGCCGGTAAGTTTCATTATACCTATCATAAAAATACATCAATAACGGGGAATGCAGTGGCCATCGCATACCTTATGCAGAAAATGCCGTACGTTTTCCCCCTAGTTGGAGGGCGCAAAGTCGAACAACTGCATGGGAACCTCGAGGCACTTGATATATCATTGTCCCCGGAACAGATCAGGTATTTGGAAAGCATCATCCCGTTTGATCCGGGGTTCCCTACCTCCATGATTGTGCGCAGTGCCAATCTCAGTCGTATATACCAAACTGACGCGTCATCTCGCAGGGCGATGGGTCATCTCCTACTATACTTCTCGCACATACCGCTCATTTCGAGAAGGTCCCGCGCGTCGAACCAATCAGGCCATCGGATAAATAAGAGTCTCATGTCCCTAAGCGCCGTGTCTACAAAGTTGTATAGTATTCCATATCAATGAAACTCTATTGATTGGCAATTAATTCCTGACATGTACTTCACTATCATGACCGACTGCCCGAAGTTGGGTCCAATCCGAATTGCACGCGATTAACTCATCGTGGGTCACTAGCTCGATATTGTGTGGGTAATTATACACCCTCGTCGAATACTGATAGAACACCGGTGTCGAGTTCACTGAGAATCCGGATTGAACGGTCAAGGAATGGATTCAGCCCCGCGGATCTGATTTATCAGTTATCGACAATGATCTCAAGATCACCTGATGTTTTTGCCATGCTCTGATAGGTCGTGCAGACAAAGCATGGCGTCGCAACAGTCTCATTACAGTCATAGTCTGGCCTATCCCACCGTGAGCTTTAGAACCTCGTTATTCTCGCAAGTGGCCTCATGATCCAACCAAGTGGAGTTACCTGGGCGCGTTCTCCTGCGCGTATTTGTCAGTCGTATTGGTACTGAAATTTCTGACAAGTTTGTTGCTTATTCTGGGCTCAGTTAAAAGTCCCGATAGGTTTCTGTTTAAAAATATGATGTCAGAAAGTAATCTCGAATTCCATCTGAAGAGGCCGCAATGCGCAGCTCGCCGTGATGCTTGGAATTTGTGATGAATTCATATTTGCTATTCATGCGAGGTATCGGTCCAGAGTATTGTCCTCATGTTGGAGATTACGGGGACAATCTATCTATCGTCCACTGCGGTTGGTTGTTGGGCGAGCCTTCCACACGAAGATATCGGACACGGTCATGAAGCCGTGAAGGCTTTCCAAGCCAAAATTCAACTTCGCTGTGTAATTTCAACGCATAAGATTGATTGTAGTCAAGAATATGGAGAAACCTACCTGGGGATTACTCTCCATCCACCCCAGAAGTCAGGTAATGGGACATCGCCTTCTTTGTCAGATGCCTGTACTCCAAATCGTTCCTGGACCTCCGTCAATCGGTTGACTAGGTCATCTTCCCCGATGACGCTGCTCTGATGGCTTGCCCACGCACCCAAACGGGTGCCGACAGGGCGGGATTTGAAGTACTCTCCGCTCTCTTCTTTCGACAACTTCTCGACCCTGCCAAGTACCCTCACCTGCCTGGACATCTCACGCCAGAAGAAAAGCAGGGCAGCTTGAGGGTTCTCTTCCAGTTCTCGAGACTTGCGAGATGTATAGTTAGTATAGAAAACAAAGCCCCGCTTGTCTAGCTGCTTGAAGAGCACCATGCGCGAAGAAGGTATACCCGATGCTGTTGCTGTGGAGAGAGACATAGCATCAGGTTCGCGGACATTGGCCTCGCGAGCTTGGTTGAACCAGATATGAAATTGCTCTAGGGGAGATGTGTGGACATTTGACGGGGTGATATGATCTGGGGTATCATATTGGACATGTCCTTGGACTTGGAGGCAATCTGCTGATTCTGTAACGGAGACTGAAGACATGAATGATTGAGAGAAGCCACTATAGATCGGAGACAATGAAGGGACGCGAAAAGAAGATGCCGCCGGGATAAATCTGCGAAGTGTTATGGAAGTAATGATAGTACTGGTTAAAAAGAGCATGAATTCGACCGTTGTCAAGGATAATGCCTATTGAATCAGCCTGATTGATTTGAATAACTTCGGGGATTCAATTGGCGTTTGAGCCTGAAAGTCAACTTCAGAGCACATCGTTCATGAATCATGATGTTTCGACTAGTGCGAGAGGACTGGGCAAGTAAGCCTAACAACTGACGATGTTCACTAATTAATTCTGTGAATGATTACATTCCGCGCGATGAGTTATTCTATCAAGCTTCAGATGCCTTGCTCAGGCTCTGTGATCTCTTATCATCCGGGCTCTCCAATTCCAATGACAAAAACAACTAGCTGCACGGCGGAACTTGCAGCTCCCGAATTTGCGCTTCACGTACCGACTTGTTTAACTATCTGGTGACCGCGGATCACAGGTCATGTGAGAAGCTCTCTAATACGATCATATTCTAGCGAACATCAGGTAAGCGCAAGAAGACGCAAATGAGCAAAACGTTGCAAACGAATCCATAAGCGACTCGAAGCGAGTACTTCCGTGTATCGTGTACGGCATTTCCATCTTATCGATGAGCAGGTATCTCACAATCAGTTGCAATCTTTCTCGGGTCCATGACTCCTGCCGAGGTAGGCGAAATATCCTTGAAAGGAACCTCTCGGAATGAGTGAGATGAGTGATAATCTCTGCGATGCTCATAACTTTCTTTTTGTAAGATTGCGGTCCTACCGACTGAGTTTTCAACTTCTCAAAGTCTGTGCTATGGCTGGCTCAAATTATTCGCGTATAGAATGGCATACGTACGTTCTTGGTGTTTGAACGATTTTACTAGATGAACTTCCCTTCTGTTTACGTGTAAGCTGCCCAACTATGCACAAAGATAGGCCGCCGCATCTGGCGCTTCAGTAGACGCTTGTCACTCTCGATTAGGAGTAGCTTAACTCACGGGTCATGTGAGGGTGCACTTGGCTAGTACACAAACTCAACTTCAAGTTGGGGTAAGCCTAGGCTCGCTAACTTGGCGTCTGTTCAAATCAGGATAAAAGTTTGTGGATTAATTATGATGAGAACAGATAGGCTTACCTCGGGCACAGCAACGGATTGATGAAGAAGGCGGCGTCCTCGCTTAGCATAGTATCCATGTCGTCTGACAGCAGGCTCGAATGACTGCCGGCAAACTGGACGTTGACAAGAACAGGAATCATACAGGGGTTTTCATCTTCAATGATCTAGGCTTGCTGCCACTGGGAAGCGACTGAGCTTTGCTGGAGCTCTCCCCTCGTTTCGACTATTTCCCCCAATGGTAGGGGCAGGAACAGTTACCAACCTCTATGGCCCTTCAGTTGCCGCCTCACGTCCTTTATGGGCGCCAGCGCGAATAACTTAGTTTGTAAGTTGTGAGTCGGCCCGCGAAAGCGGAAATATGAACGTTGATCCCCTCAACACGCGCAAGATAGGATTTCGATAACTTCGTCGCAGGGAGTTATTACCTAATGGCAGCCCTGACCCTCGATTTTATTGTGTGCGATTGGTTCAACCGAGAATGAATAAATGGATTGAGTTCGCCGAGCAAGCGTTTGACTAAAGTGGTGACGAGGGGTACCGATTGGCGCCTTTTGCTGAGGGACTCCCCAGTCTTAATCTGTACAAATATTTAGTAACAGTGCCCACGATATATGACACACCTCAACATACCACTAGATACTTATCAACCAAGTGCCTTGGAAATACTAGGCAGATAGAGAGCTGTCAATGCGATGCAGTTCTGCCGCTGACAGCGCTGCTTGGACGGTCTATGCAGGAGCTTCCAGGAGCACCATTAAATTTGGAATGGATGAGGGACAGATTTGAAGTATTGTGCCACTACAGGGCTTTGAAACAGGTTTCAAGATTGATTTCACTTATCTGTGTGCGCTGGCAAATGATGCGCAGCTACTCGGGCCACTAATGGCCAACGTCCCCGCGTTTAGACCTCACACGAACAAGGAATTGAGTGGACTCCATCAGCATAAATTAGAATGATACTGTCTGATGGATTAGTGATCCTCGATTGGAATAGTGCAATAAACATGCCGTTTCTAGTCCTTTCCATCAACTATAAGAGGGTCCCCGACGTAAAAAAAAAAAATCAGCGTTAGTCAAGTTGAGCAGGTTTACTAAGTATAAACTTTGGAAAGTTCTAAGCTTCAAGAATCGGAGAACAGCTGAAAATAGGACTTGGAGTTGCTGCTAGCCTCACTGCGGCGCCACATGCCTGAGATTGCCGGCATATTCCGATTAGGATCTGAGATTGTAACCAATACATCCAGTGAAATGATTTCTTAGAGGTCTTAATCAACCCTTCATCTCCTGGTTTTCACTCTTCTCTTTCCTCCACAACTCCCTAGTCCCGTATCCATCTTGCCTCGTTGCCCAGCGAGCGCATTCAATTCTGAAAAATGCACTCCATATCCGACTTGACAACGTTCTGTCGGAAGACGACCGGTGACGTCCCTCCGAAGCTTGTGGTATGCATGCATTTTGCGTTGTCTACCATCCACTCATTCAGCGTTCGTCATTTTTTGTAGGGCGCGTCTACCACAGTTGTAGGGTCGAAGATGTATCTTTTCGTGCGTTGCTAGTTGGTCTCTATCATCCTTTCTTATCAAATCGTCCGTATATTAGGGTGGGCGCCTGGTCACAGAGCGCCGCATGGTCTCCGATCTATATGTGTCGACATGGAGACCTTTGTCTGGGAGAGGATCACACCATCTCCGGAGGATGATATCCCAGAAGCACGATATTTCCACTGCACAGAGACCTGTGAGTTTCTCCACCTGGCTGTTTGTCGCCCAGCTCTTATGCAAATTTGATTTGCCATAAGGGAACAATCAACTGATTGTTTCGGTGGTATGGGCAGCACCCCGAACTCCAGTAATCCAGAAGATCTTTGTGTACTCAACGACGTCCGTTTCTTCGACTTGTCAACAATGCAGTGGTTCCCGCAACAGCTACTAACGGTGCCTCTGCGGAGTCTGGCGCAGAGACGTTGGTTCCAAAGCCTCGATATGCGCATCTATCATCTGTTTCAGCTGACCGTCTTTTCATCATCGGAGGCCAAGACCTATCGAATGTTTGGCTGGATGACATCTATGTGTATGATTTATTGGGTAGAGCTTGGGTTCAGCGCCGAAGCTTTCCCCACCATTGTGGTACCTATCGTAGCGTAGCCGTTTCCGCAAACCAACGTGTCCGATTACCGCAGGAGGAAGTCCACTCGACGGATACGACCACCATGTTGGGTCCCCCTGGGGCACGATTCCGGCCCGAAAAGTCCCCTCCTTCAACCCAACATTCACTTCATCCGATTCGTTTGTTCACATGCCGTATTCAGCTCCCCCAACTGACGACTTTCCGAATGACATCTACCTGTACAGCAACTACAACGTAAGCTGTTAACTGCTGTGACTGCTTCGTTTAGGCCTGATGACATATTTATCACACAGTTCACAGATGTCAAGCGAGAGTTTGAGGTTTTCTCTCCATTGCCAGACACAGATTTCACGATCACGGATCGTTCCACGGATATGACAGGCACGTCATTCCCCCAGGACTCCGTTTTCCCTCAGGTGCCATCCTGGGCACGCACTTCATCATTGCTGGCACGTACCTGGCGCATACATACCAATCTTATTCTATCTGGGCGTTAGACATGTTGACCATGACATGGTCTCGTATTGACTCGGGGAGCGCCATGGCGACTGGCTCCTGGTTTCGTGCCTGTTTGTGGGCAGAAGCGAACAAATTTATGATCTTCGGAAACCGGAATGGCAACCTCATCGAAGATTACAACCGCCGGCTTCTCAGTTGGGATCACGTTGCTGTTATAGATTTGGAGTCATTTGGAATCTATCAACCTCCACCTCTGCAAATTGATATACCGATGCAGGAGTTTGGATTATCAGCCCTAGAAGAGGGTGTTCTTGCTGATTTTGAAATCATCTGTGACGACGGGCGCAAAGTCAAATGTTCGAGAAAGACTCTCGAAGATCGTTGGCCCTGGTTCAAAGATCAAAGGAACAAGTTCTTGGCGCGGGCTCGACAGGCAATAGAGATCTTGCCATCATCTTCCATGGACGTTGGGCTTCCGGACCTCCCTGGCGCACCAGGGTCCTCAGAAGCGCGTCCAGACCCACGTCTCACGCCACGCGCCTTCAACCTATCTGAGCCTTATCCAATCACACTGGCGCTATTGCAGTATTTTTACTCACTGGCGCTCATCACTCCCCTCCAACATGCACCTGCAGTGTTGAGCCAATTGCTGATTCTCTCGAGTACTTACCAAATTCATCACCTCGAATCCCTTGTAAAACATGCAATGCATCGGGCTCTTTCGAATTCGACTTCTGTCGGTGTGTACGAAGTCGCAACACTGTGTAGCTGTCGGAGCCTTCAAATTAGGTTTGTTTATCCAGTACCTCTTGACGGCATATTTTGACTTTTTTCCGTTCAGGGCACTCAAGACAGTTATGGTGATTATTTCAAACATGAAGGGTCTCTTGTCACGAGCTGACATAGTTCTCAACTCCTAGTCTTATAGCCAGAAGAGGACTGGTCGTTCCCGCGCTGACAGTAAAAACGGAGGCGGTGGTCGTAACCCCGACCCCAGTGACAGTGATAACCCTGGTCGTTCGAGCGACATTGTCCCAACATCAAGTCGCAGCCGTGGCGGTGGTGTTTCGAACGCAAAGTCATCTAGCTCTCTTGATCAGCAGAGCAGTACAGGCTCGACGACAAGAGGCTTCACAGCTAATCTCAGTGAGTACTTTGAAGACCGTGAGTAAAAATGAAGTATTCTAACCCGTGATTTGGGTATCATGTAGCTTTTCCCACTCGTGGTGGATCATCATGTCAGAACTCGGCTGCCACCGCAACTCCGACAGTTTCTCAAATAACACAGGCCTCACATAAAAACACCCTTTCTGAATCTACCTTAACGCCACGGAGACGATCCATGGCGCACCACCGCAACAGAACGTTCAGCATTATTTCAGCACATACGGACTTTGAGATATGCGCCGTAGCTGACCTCCTGTCGCCTGCAGTATCGCATCCACGGAGCTATGCCGAAGAGCAAGAGCGCGTTGGAGTCGCGATAGATGACGTCGATGATTTCCTTGATCCTAGCAATGGTGTTCATACTGCCGGAAAGGCCCCTACCATGCCATATCTTCTTCTAGAGCACGAAGAGCCTCTTTCGCCTTCCTTCGGATCCCATTCCATGACCAGCTCAACCACTCATTCAGAGTCAGATTTCGATATCTCTTCAGATGATTATTCTGGCCCTTACACTCCCTCCATTTCCTCCTCCCCTGCTTCCCACCTTCCACGCCGCACAAGGATGCGATCACGTGCTAGCAACGGGCACGTAAGCGCCAGTGACAGCGATACACCCTCCTTGTCGTCTTCAACAACGTCTATCAGCTCGAATGGCAGTATCTCGCAATTATACTCAGCATCGCCTCCTACCAGCCCTATCACCCTTAAAACTCCCATTGATCATCCAGCTGTTGCTAACCAGCAGCTTACAATCATTGAGGAGCGAACAACAGAAGACCGGGATATAACTGGTCGTCGCTATTCTGACTCGGGCAGCATTATCTTTTCGCCCGATTATACAACACCGTCACTACGGAAGCCATTTATTACACGAACTCCTGACGTGCGACCGAAAGGTCGTGTGTTCAATGTAGAACACCTACGACTCAATGTTCAACCCACAGTCACCCATCATTTTCCATCCATATCACCTGCACCTTCTTCGACCTTTGATATTGGCTCACCCGTGAGCAGCACCTTTTCCCCGGCAAGTGCCTATACATCGATGGCCAGCCCTCACCCTACGAAGTCATCTCTGAACCATCTCATGTCCCCGGGCGCGAGCAGTAGCAAGGCTCCAAGCGTGCTTGAAAGCGCGTGGTCAGCGTCTCCAACTGCGAGTGTCGTAACATCCAAAACTGCTCGCAAGGAAGACAGCAAAGCAGAGAAGGCGCGCAAATTGGAGGAGAAGAAGCGACAGAAGGCAGAGGCCAAGGCTGAGGCTAAGGCCAAAGTGGAGAGATTGGCGGAAGAGTTGAAGGAGCGTCAACGACGCAAAGTTGCCTCACTGGACAGGCAGTCAGTGCACACCCATCGGTCATTTGGCCGTGTTGCACGACGGCATTGGGACGATGACATTCCTATGTATAACGGTCTGGGCACCCTTTGATTGTCGGTCCTGTCTTCATTTGCTTTCCACTATCCTTACTTGTTCCTAGATTTCATCGTATATATATCATCATGTTCATTTTGCATATATTTACAATGTTGTCCTATCTGTCATTAATGTACCACACGCGATGTACCGGATTAGTCTCAAACCTATTGGAAACTCATCCCACTGGCTTTGAGGTGAAGATAACGATAAAATGACTATTAGAATTGGAAAGAGAAAGGAGACATGAAATCCGCGGTGCCAATGACATCTGAGCTAGTCATTGACTTGTAACCACGGTGAAGATTTTCCACGTGCAACCTGAACTCCGTCACAGCATTAAGCTCGTTGTAGATGCTAAGGTGAAGCGGGGGGAGTGGTCCTCATAGTCCATCAGTCAGAAGGGAGATTGTCGGGAAATCTGTCACTGCTGCATGTCCCCGACTTTCCCTCATCTCCGGCTCTAATTGCCTAGCGGCATCGGCAGTTGTAGCAGCAAATGCGAGTGGGCTGCCTTGAGTACCTGTCATTGATGCATCAGTGGAAAGGACCGAATCTCCTGAAAAACGAGGGGCGATGATGTGATTATCTGAGCCAAGAACATTAGTACAAGCACAGAAAATAAATAGGGGACGATCTGGGACTTACATTCCCTTGCATGCGCTGTAGCCGGCGTTGAGTGAACTTTGAACATGTTTATCCAAACAACAATACACTCACCGAGATCTTTCTGCCTGCTGCAGGAGGTGCCTTCCTTACAGTCAGGTCGGCGAGTCACAGTTTCCTCAAGAAAACCTTTCTGCCTTTCTCGTATCCACCAGTCCTTCATACCCCAGAGCATGACTTCTGTAGCACACTGTCTGCATATCCTGTTTCTCGGCGCATCTGGATTCTCATCAATCCCAGCGGTAACGCTATGGATATCCACGAACAAGTCGAGCTCTATCAGGGGACGGAAACCATTAGGCTGGGAGAGGATGTGTGATGCAACCTACACTGCGTCAGATACGTAGGGCCGTGATCAAAAAGGACCATCACTAACCTCGCGATAAATATGCCGAGGTGAAAGTTCTTGAGCGGTCAGGTAATCAAGCATGATATCGACCTCGACGGTATTATGATCGAAGCATCCATAAACTTCGGATGATTGGATAAGATCACCGAGGTCAGACATGTTGTGAGGGTGCTGAGACAGCAGAGGTGCCGCTAAGCAACGCCCTGGTACACCAACGCCGCAAAATGAGACCTGGCATAGGTCACATTTTGTTGTGGAAGGAGCGCGCAAGGCGAGAAGGTTTTCGCTAATAGCCAGGTAAGGGTAGGAAAGGGATAGTAGTATTCACATACCAGTTTCCGCAAAACGCATGACCAGGAGGATTACCTAGGGTACAAACAACTAAGATAACTCTTTGATAATGAAACTAATAGTGTAACCTACCGTCATCCAGGTGCCACGCGCGCTCTGGGTCGACGCCGTAATCGATAACAGGCTGAGGGCACCTCCAACCGAATGCATTATCAGGCACACAATGAGGACAAGGGCGAACATAATCCGCATTTTGATTCAGGTTGGGTTCTGGTGACGCTTCTCGTGGTGTCGGGATCTAGGAGACACGTGCTTCAGAAACGCATTCGTAAATGAACTGATTCTTGAACTACGCACCCTCATAGAACATCCAGCCTTGTATACCTCATCCGCCTGAATTCTTTCTCGTTTAGCGCGTTCTCGTGACGGATCGGCCCGCAAAAGAATATCGACGATCGATTGCAATGGGCGTGATGGTGTAACGATAGTAGATACCCCTCGGCATGCAGGACAGTTCGTACCTCCATTCTGGAGTCGGTACTCGTTAGATCAATAGCTCGGTGATGACACAGAGATGGGAAAAGAATGAACGCATGCAGCCAGCATGAATACCCGATGTGTCGGGTAAGCGCATAGTGTGCCACGAACGACTGTCAACTGGAGACCAAAAACTCACACGAATCCATAGAACACAACAGCTTGGCGGAGGTCAGCATTGGTATACGACAACATTCTTAAAGAGTCATACCTGCCACAGAAGAAGTGCTGACAAGGGGACACGACCACCGGTCGATACACTAGCTCAGTGCAACAACCGCACTGAAGTTCTTGAGCAAGATCCTCTGCAAGGGTCTCATAACCTGGTTTAGCGACAGACTTCTCGCTATCTGGCTCATTCCCCAGGTCCCCTTTGAACCGCTTCTTGCTCGTCTCATCCTCAAGTCCTTCGAATGAGGAAGGGGGCCCGCGCTTCAGGGCTGAGCTGGAGGTGCCTCCACTGCGGGACATTGATAGCCCCATCATAGAGTCAGATGTACCTGGATGCGAGGGTTGCGGTTCTTCCATCGTTCTTGAGAGTTTGAAAAAGAAAGATGTGAATGTTGTGAAGAGCTTCAAGGTCTTCAGTACTTTAGTACTTAAAGTACTGACCAAACAATCACTTTCTATTTTTGGGTCTCATTCACTACACGTATCGTCACTCAATGTTCTTAGTGATTCGCAAACAAAAGGCATAATAGGTTCAATACATAGCGTGGTAGAATAGTAGTGCGAGACTAGAGAAACAAATATATTAGGGAATAAAAATCATCTGTGATTTATACTCTACCACGCCGAACTCGGTGAGGTAGGCGGTCGTCCAATACTCCTGTATGCACACGTCAGCTGTCCACGAAGCTTAACGATCCTACGTCGTATTTCTGAAGAGTAATGATGAGAATAGAGAGCTTGTACAAGTCAAACCATACCTTCGCACGGCCAGAGGGCGTTTAGGTAATCCACAGGCTTGAATAACGCCGTACAAACGTCAAGAGCAAGGGTCAGTGTATGGTCGCAATCCCACAGAGTAAGTGCCCTGAAGCAAGAGTCCCGTCGACAAACCATACATAAGAGTAAAATGACATACTCACCGGCCGATCTGACTCATGAACCAGAGAATGAAGAATGGCCTGTGCATGAGAGAGTGAGTAGCATGGCCAGTCACTGCGCTCATTCCAAGTACAACACGCTGAGCAACATTAGCCTGATGGGATACTAATTCGCAGGTCATAAGTAAAGGAACAACACGATGAATCAAGCAACTCACGCCATTCCTCGGCTTTGCTCCGGTGGAACAGTCCGTTAGCGTTGCTGTAAAATAGACGACAAATCAGTGATCGATAACAATCGATTGCGTTTCAAGACTCACGCGGTAGCGACAGGGATAAACCGTTTGAAATCATGAGATACCGTCATGCGAACGCTGCAACAACCGGTCATTGCACAGAAAATCAAAGTAGTGAGTTCCCAGCTTACTTGAATAAAAACTCCCGACCTTGGAACAAAAAAGTCCTTTCCAAGTCACAGGTATGCGCGTCAAATGCTTGCTCCAACGCATCTGCCTCTAGCCAAGCATCCACTCCAAAACGAGCCATTTCAGCCTCGTTTGCACTCGGGGTGCGTCTAATTTGCAGGCAACTGTGCCAGAGAAGCATCGTTCGGTGAATTAATGCCCACATGGTGTCTTTACCCGAATGATGGGACGACATGCTCGACAATCCTAGTGCCTCTCCAGGAAAGAGCAGCGCATACTACATAGAATATAAGTACCTGACTGACAAGGATTGCCGAGACTCACATTCGCAGGTTCCCTGAGGAAAAGTTCTGTGGGAGTACGTTTTTCAGCAGTAATATATGAGGTATGGCCGGCGATTAAGGCGAGGGCGCTCCAACATAATCGACGGCACCCCTCCTTGCGGACCTCAGCTTCTGACCAATTATCATCCCACCCAGGGGTGGTAACCCAAAGTGGGGTATACTCATAGGCAGCTGGCCAACGTTGCCCAAGCGTCATAGAAAAGCAGGAGCAACCTTCCAAAGGATATCGTGGTTGAGTGATATTAGGAGTGGCAAGTAAGTGGTCGGTTGGGTATACGGCCTGCCGAGGAGGGCTCCACGAATGGGGTGCAATGGTAGGTACAGATCGAGGCGAGAACTTGGCAGAATATGGATTGTCGACATCAAGAAGGGTCAACCCTAGGCTGCGTATGATCATGTCAAGCATGAGTGTCGACGACGAGGCCCGCTCCCTGGTGTGTTGAGGATGGGGACAGATCTCGAAGAACGCCAGAAGCTAAAAGACGATCGTAACACATGAACACATATACAACCTTGCAGATGTATGAACTGACCCAGGCAGCTTGAGCGAGCGAATCATCTATCCATCGAGCGTTAAGGCTTGCCTCAAGATGACCTTGCGCAACATCCCGTAACCTAATAGCTCTGTCTCTCCCTTCCCTCCCGTTGCCTGCTTCTGAACTCTGAAAAAATGCAGCAATAGCGAGGGCAGCCGGAAGCAGCGCGGGTTGCATCCGCTCCCTCTTTATGGGATCAAAATACCTCCCAAGGAACTGAGGAACGTTAATAAAAGTAAACCAATAATTAGATCCGCGGAGTAGAAATTGAATGTCTGCAGTGGCTGTAGCCGTAGCGTGGCGACGTTGCGTCGCAGTTAAGGAAGGAAGGTATGATGAGGAAGTGTACATGGCGAGAAGTGAATCCCACCATGTTTTACGAGTGAAATCAAGAGAGGGTTCGGGTGTGATATTTAATGATTCGTCTGAAGTCTCACTGGTCTCATTGTCCAGTGAAGCAATAAGCGTCCGAGGTGGGCTGTGGCCATATGACTCAAATAACTGAAAATCCAACTGAGTTGCAAAACCGAAATCATCGTCTGTGTCCTTGATTCATAGGTAATATGAGCGGACTTCGTCCAACAAGTAATTAAGTCGGTACCTCAGTGCTCGTCATGGTACGATATAGAACCTCATTATCTGAAGGTGCAACCAACGCAACTGCATCAGTGAGGATATTCAAGGGTAAGGGTTGAAACGAGTTCGACCCTACTGAACCCTCTACCGGAAAAGGAGACATGGCAGTTAACTGTGGGTCGATGACTGGTGGGGGGATGTTAGGAAAGGATATGAGTGATTCGGGCTGGGGTTGATCGTTCTCCAAGTCTGTATTAGCCGTTTGATCCGAAAGAGTATTGGTTGCAGAGACTTCGCGCCTTCTTCTGCGCCGCCTACGGGACACAGCAGCATCGCTCTCGCTTCCTACATGAGCATCCCGAGCCGTTCGCTGTCGGGCGCCAGGAGTCTTGTCAGGACCCCGACGTTTTGGCACCGCATCGTATGTACATTCATCTCCACTCTTGGAACGTCGACTGCAATTATGACATTGGGGTTTTGCCCCGTCACAACGTATCTTGCGTGTCCGACTGCAGTTGTGATAGATCAACGGTCAACTCAGTGAGGCTCTAAAAATGGACGAACCATTGAAGGCAAGCAACATAAACTCGAGCACGGGGCTTTCCCTGCGTGGTAAGTGGTTGATCTGGAGCAAGCTCAATTCGCGGCTTTTCGCGGCGAGTCCTGCGAGCATCGGCAGTATCATCCCCTTCTTCGTCATGTTGCTCAGGCGATCGCGAGGATTGAGACTCAGCGTTTGACAGAGCGGGAGGGTCGTGGATCAAAGCGGAGCTGAGCTGGGATACAAAGTCTACCGCAACGACTGGAGGGCGTGACATCATGTTAGAGCGATAATAAGAATCGGTCTCGGAGGCTAGCCGTGGGTCTCGAGTTACATAGTTAAGCATGCCAGAGTTCGATCCATATTGAGACCGGCTAGATGAATCCAACTCAGATGCATAGGTGTGGGAATGACCATATGATCCTGGAGCAGGGGAAGTGAAGTTTGGGTTCATGGCAGCTCTGGAGTCTGGTGAATGTCTGGAAGGGGAGATGCCGGGAAGAGACATGCTGGTGATTGAGGGGAGTGATTCAGGGTTTAATGCATCTTTCAACTGATATGGTTGTGAATTGGAAGGATCCGAAAGCAGTGTATTCCGAGTCTCGGAGGTGGTCTGCTGTGTGTGATACATGGTTCACGGAGTAGCGCTCGCAAGGACGAACAAACGCCTTGTCGCGATGATGAGTGGAAGAAAGAAAGATGGGGAAATGTTCCTAGTTCCTTCAAAGGGGAGTGACCTCCACCTGTTGATATGTGTTTTGTTGGGTGGGAATGACGCTGAACATGGGTTGTCAGATCGGCTCGGAGGTTTGACCGCTGCGACGATCCAAAAAGCAGCACGACAAACGACAGGCAGAGAGGAAAATCTACAAGATCGAGGTCAGTAAAGTCATTAACAACAGAAGAACGGAATATACGGGTGCTGTTACTTAAAGCTTGCAGCAAGCGTCGGACCGTTCCACTCAGGACTGCTGTTGAAGCATCTGCACTCTTCCCACCTTAGTAATGCGACAAGAACGGCAACTTCCGTAAGTCAATCTTTCTTCCACCTGAATCATGGTGGCGGGCCGTTCAGGAAGATCTTTTCGTGATTTGGAGGTTCCTTTGTTTTGTATTCCTTGGTCCTCCTACCGGTGCTTAACCCAGAGACAGCACATGGAATGTCTGGTCAAGTGATCAAACGTATTTGGAGGGACCACGTTATTTCGAGCTCATTTAATTCCCAGAATGATGTCTCATCCACGAAGGAACGAGTATCTGCATCTGATGGGTTCATACATCGGCCTGATTTTGTTATTTTTGTTGCAGCAGCTACTAGGAATAGCTGTACTGCATGGCACAAACACGCCTGTGCCCGTTTGCGAGCACGCTGTCCGTCCCTCAAGCGCAGTTGCCGGTCCAAAACACTCGGCATGCATAAGATCATGTTTCCTTTGCAACATGTTTAGCAAGGCTGCTAATCACATCCCTCCCCTGAGACCCAGCATTCCAGCTTTTCATCCACTGCACCTTGCAGGACATCATGTTTTTCTTGTCTTCCGCTTCGAGCTTTATGCTCGCATGCATCTTGCAAGTTGCGGCAGCCCCTCATCTCGCACCTCCTGCAATACGTCGTACGGATGTCTCAGTTGTCACTCAGATGTCGTCTATCCAGCTGGCTGATCTAGCGCCATATACTGAATTTGCTCGTGCTGCTTACTGTTCGCCTACCATCGTAACTGGTTGGCAATGTGGTCGTACGCAATCCCACCCTACTTTGTTTGGTTTGCCTTGGCTCAATAATCGAGTTCTTAGAAGCTTGCGAGGCGGTGCCTGGGTTCGAGGTTTCTCTCACAGGGGGTGACGACAACAATATCCAATATTGTACGTCCCAATCAAAATATTGCACACCTTTCCAGACATTTCGCAGACTACGTTGGTTACTGGCCGACAGAAAATACCGTGGTAGTTGCTCATGAAGGTACAGATCCAACCCAACTGTAGGTGTACACGTTTCACAGCATACAACTTGAGGAAACAAACTTATTGGCCTACATAGCTTATCTGATCTCACTGATGCCGATGTATTGATGGAACCCCTGGACCCCACGCTTTTCCCTGGTGTCAACAGCAGCGTCGAGGTTCACAGTGGATTTGCTAACGAGCACGCACTAACTGCAAGCATCATCTTGAATGAGGTGAAGAGCCTGATTTCTCAATATAACGCCAACAGTGTCACACTGGTCAGCATCGAGCATTTTGTCACCACTCTAAAATAACTTTGATATTTTCGAGGACAGGTCGGACACTCCCTGGGAGGCGCCCTTGCGGAGCTTGATTGTGTGTTTATGGCTTTGAACCTTCCCTCTAGCATCGCCATCAAAGGTATGTCCATACCAGTAATTTTACTGGGGCGCGGGATTTTCACAGTCGGAATTTTTAGGTGTGACATATGGTACACCCCGCGTAGGAAATCCAGCATGGGCCGCTCTCTTCGATTCCCTGGTAAGCTTGATTCTCCCCATCGGATCTCGTTGTGCCTTCCCCACATTAGACCTATAGTTAATTACTAAAATCACGGGCAGATATCGGACTTTCAACGCATTAACAATATGAAGGACATTATCCCGATCGTTCCGGGGCGTTTCATGGGCTTCTCACATGTCCAGGGAGAGGTCCACATTGTATCTGATGGATACGCAGTCGAGTGCCCAGGCAAGTACAAAATTTGCCTTTTCGGGCATGATCGTTCATAAGGATCTGTATAGGCAATGACGATGCCACGGACGCTCTGTGCACAATACAGAGTGTGCCCAACATCCTCGCGGGCGATATCTTGGACCACTTGGGTCCATACCAGGGGATTTATATCGGCACCATCTATTGCACATGATTGACATGGACTTGTATTATATTAGCTGAACGTTGGGACATTTGATTGGTCTTTATGAATCAAACATGAATGACCGCAGGCATGGGTGCAATGGTGCCCACTTCTATCATGTGGAATTGTCTCCCCAATACCACCAGCATGCTGTGAGAACGCATACTCGTCAGCAAGAGATTTACAAGCAAATATTGGAAGCACCACAGGAACACTGGCTCCCGACGATGACATCGTGGTCGCTATTTTGGCCTAAATTGAGGTCGTATTTGCCATTCTGGTCGTAGCTGAGGGTTGTTGTTTAGTAGGCGGTCGCCTGGCAGCGAGCTGTGCAGTTGTGTGTACGCAGCGGACCGAAAGCTGTATGCGATTGTTGTATCCCTAAATTTCATGGGAAGTCTGGGGGTACCATTTACTCAACAATGAGAAACTACACTCACTAAAGTCCGCATGTTTTCGGGGGATTCATTGATAGTCGATTCATTGAGCCCCTCCACTGTTTCGGTGAGTACCCTACCGGCGCGGCCCATATTACTAACACGGCATTGTTAGAGGCGAGCGATGGCAAAATATGCTAAGCAAGATTTACTCATTCATCAGCCAGTCGCCCACTGGCCAATGCCATGACAATTCTGCGTCATCGACGAAGGAAAGATGAATCATGAAACCATCAGTATGCCTTGGCTTCAGGTGAACATATTTAAACCTACCCCTTAGGTGCAACTTGAATGATAAACTGTGTCAGGACTCAGTATGCGGTATTCGCGGATCTTCAAGTGGGGTTTTCGCGCTGTGTGCCTCGATGACAAGTACAGCATCTACGCACGCTTGCAAGCCATGTCGATCGAGAAGGACCACAGTTACTTTCACATCGATAAACCGAATTTCATTTTTTTTCCTCTTACCGCTTCTCTTTACTTGTGGAGCTGGACAAACAACAGGGTCACGCTTACTGCGATACCCTGGTCGGGCGAAATACCCTTGAATGGCAAAGGCGTTCTGACTGCCTGGACACCGCCCGGACACTCCAGTGGCTGCTGTTAAACAGTAATAGGTCATTGTGTCTGCCCGTATGTCATGGCTGGTTTGTGCACAGTAGATACTTGTTGCAGAACCCCTCATACTCGCGATACTGAATACCACTGAATAAGTGCCGAGCTTTGCCGGCAGTAACTTTGTCCCACAAGTACTAATGTCGTGTACTATCATTTGGAAAATGTATCAAAGATATACTAATTTTACGTCATCAACGGTATCCTTTCGAAAGTAGCGAGCCAGGGCAACATTTGAGAAAAGCTGCAGAAAGTTTGTCGGACAATATGCTATCAAGACCTGTGTAACGAGGATGGGCGCATTTCAATAGACAGGTTCTAATAAATGATTGAGATGGATATAACAGAGGGCCGGGTTTACCAGAAGTCGAAAGATGCTTGAGCACCATAGCATTCCTTTCCTTTGAGAGGTTTGTCCGATGAAAGGCCACCGCCAAGTTTACATCATTTTAGTAAACCGGAAAGCTTAGGCAATGCATGTTTAAGGGTGGCTGTAACACAATCAACTCGTGAAGGTTAGTTTCACTTGGTCAGATGAGATTGCGGGCACATTAAGAAATCGAGAGTGATGAACAAGAATGACTTACAGCAAATAAACAGTGAACAATCAACACCTACAGCGTGTGAATGATGTTTAAGTTCTCGGCATAGCAATCACGTCGAATCATCTTGAATGCCTGTAAGTTATGGATGACAACTGGAAAACTTTCTGAGAAAAGCCGAAGCCATTACAGGGCATGAAAGTGAATTTGTTTTCATGAACAGACTATCACATAAAAAAGAGGTTTCGGCACAATGACTTGGCTTAGTTGAGATGGACCTCCAAGGATCTATATACTGCAAAATGTTGTCAGTAGGTTTCGAACCAACTCCAAGAGAAACAGATTTCGACTCTGTTGTGGTAACCATTTGGCTAAGACTAGTTAGACGGAACTCTGAGGAACTATCCATGAGTCAATCTCAAGGTGTGTTCCAATATAAAAAGACCTGTCATTCAGCAGGTTTCAAACCTGCACCATCGAAGAGAAACAGATTTTGATTCTGTTGTGGTAACCACTAAGCTAAGACCAATTAAGATGAACATCCGACGAAACCATCTGCGAGAGAATGTCGAAGTGTGTTCTGACAGGGAAAAAAACTTTGTCATCAGCAAGTTTTGAACCTGCGCTGGCACGGTCCAAGAGACAGATTTAGATTCTGTCGTGATAACCACTTCAAGTGGTCCATCAGTGAATTCATGAGTCCCTGATACTGGGAGCGAATCTTCAAGCTAAGGCATGTTTCGGTAGAAAAAAACTGGCAAGTTTCGAACCTGCACAGTCCAAGACAAACAGATTTCGATTCTGTCGCGGTAACCACTTAGCTAAGACCAGTTGGGCGAACCTGCGACGAAACTATCCATCAGTGAATGTATCAAGGTGTGTTCCGAGAGAGAAAAAACTTGTCGTCGGCAGGTTTCGAGCCTGCGTAGTTCAAGAGAGACAGATTTCGATTCTGTTGCGATTCACTTTGGCCAGCACGCTTCGCAAGACGAGATGAACCTCCGAAGAACTGTCCATGAACGTCAATGTGTGATAAGACATTTGTTGGATGATTTTGTATTCGCACCACCCAAGACTTCTAATCTGTTCTGGTGCCAGTTGGCTATGACTACTTAAGATAGACCTTGAAGGATTCATGGGTGAGTGAATGTTCATGGCGTGATAAAAGGAAAAAGATTGTTGAGCAGGTTTCGAACCTGCAACTGATTTCTGCCCTGTCACACCACCACCTGAGTAAGACTGGTCGTCTGTAGTATGAGTCGAAGAACATCATGTAGTAACTGGGTGACTATCCGTAGGCTAAATAATCCAGAATAGATTATAACGGACTTTGAAACGCATTTGCAAAAGATAATCTATATAGAATACTAAACTGTAACGCATATGGAATAAAATAATCTGGATTTTCTTGGTGAGAACTCCAATGGAAGAACTACTGCTACAGCATGCTCTGGTAAACGATGCAGAAGAAATGGAATTTATTGATGACAAAGAAGATGCAAGAATGTTAGCAGCCATGTTGGTTGCTGGCATCGAGCTTGCTTGACTTGATCATATCAAAGTGTGCAATCCAGGATGACTTTACCTTTGTCACACTCAGCTACTCCCTGATCCACATCGCAATACTCTGTGGCAACTATTGTATGAAAGTCAGAATGACCATGCTTTTATTACAACCATGGGCATCAATGTCCAAACATTTGAATTCATTCTTACTTCTGGCTTTGCCACTCAGTGGTATGAGAAGCCCATCATCTGTCCTGATATCAATTTCCATGGCATTCCATGCTTGAATCGGTGTTCACTTAATACTGGTGGAGCACTTGGCCTCATACTTCACTATCTCAACTCCACCATGCAGGAGACTAGCCTTCAACAGATCTTTGCATTGATTCCTGCCACTGTCTCTTGCTATCTCACTTCTGGACTGCTGATGCTCTTACAAACTCTCCATTCAATGACTGATGCCAGAATTCAATGGCCATGGGGACCTGATTTCAAATGGTGTAGTGCACTCATGATCACATGTCACCCACAACTGCAAGGTGCCTTCGGGGGTATCAACAGGCTCAAATTGCCTGTGCAAACTTCTGAGGATGATGACATTGAAAACACTACCTACAATGGGTGGCTCTCTGAGCACTTCATAAGTTCCATCATGACTTTTTCAGCTGAAGGTGTGTTTTCTTCTCTTTTGCAATAGTCTGTACTTAATTCTTTCTTTACAAAGGCATTGTGATCACAGCAAGGATGAATGCACCTGGTAGCTGGCATGATTCTCACCTCACATCTCACATCTACACTCAACTTCAACTCCACATGCCTCCCAACTATTACATCATTGCAGATACTGCCTTCCCTTGAGGGACATCCTCCATTAATGGGCACATTCATGCACCTCTTAAACATGGTCAGGTTTTATGCAGCTCAGTTGCCAAGATAGTGGAACAAATGGCATTTAACCGTGAACTACTTTCATACCATCAAACAGCAGAATGGGGTATGCATGCCATCCAAGGAGCCTTTGGAAGGCTACATCTACCACTCAACATTGCTAATGAAGAAGCTTGCAGCAACCTCATCGAAATATGTCTTTGCCTGCACAATCTCCATGCCATACACATCGGAATCAACTAGATACAGACTGTGTACATGAACCTTTGGCAGGCTACAGAGGATGATATGGATGTGTGGCGAGATTTTGAGAATATGTTATTTTCAGACCAGAGGAAGATGTTACAAACTAGGGTAGTTGCAATGGCAGCTACTTGATAAGAGTAATGGCTGAAGTTGAATCTAGACCTTATGAATGTAAGGGTCATAAGACAAGTCAGAGAGTGTGTCTCTGGCTTGAATATCGGTGGTCTGACGACTTAGGATTGGAGGTCCTAAGCGAAGGATATTTCAGGTGAGAACCTAGTAGATTAAAGTGAGGATCTACTGAGTACATAACTGAGTATATCTAGAACATAGATGCTTTAGGGCAGGTACGTATGTGTCAGCAATGAGTCAGAGATAGCAATGAGTCATCTGGCAATGGCAATGGCGATCGTGATGTAGTACAAATATGGTAGAGAGTGAGTCTAGTGATGGCATGATGTGGTGCGGTCATGACATAATACAAAGGAGAAAAGGGAAAATGAATAGGGGCAAACATGACTGTAACATTACCCCTCGTTTAGGAATGAAGTCACCGACTTCAGTTATCCTGATTAGCCCAGTAAATAGGGTCAGTGTCGTAGTTGGAATGTAACAAGTCATCCTGCTCTTCGGTGATAGGGAGCGACCTGTCAGCTAGCTCAGCAGTGTGGTAAATGGCGTCCTGCTCAATCTCCCAGCAGGCTAAAGCTTCGTAGAAACCGGGATCAGTCCAAACCAGTGGAATGACTGCTTCTCCTTTCAACTCTTTACAAAAGACCGATAGGTGTCCAGGTGCATACTCTTTGCAAACCTGACAATAGTACGCAGGGCAGTTCTTGTGATGATGTCCAGAAGTGCGACAATTATGACATACAACATTATCAGCTGGTGCTGTTTTTATGGTTGTGATGGAGGCTGACTGATCGGGAGGAGAAGGGGATCTTGATTGCTTGTATGTTCTGTGTGGTGAAACAGATGCAGCTCATTTGGTGGCGATGCGGGAGGATCGATGTCTAATAGGGTATCGGCGTGTGGTGGGCGTGATGGGGGTAGGAGATGGAGAAGCTGGTATGTTAAGTACAGCAATAGGAGGGATATTGTTATCCTGATGCTCAACGGTAGTCATTGCAGGAATTGGTGGTGGGACTGGAATGGCAACATGTGGAGAGGGAGGGCATGCGATTGGGTCAAGAGCGATTCGTTCTGTGACAATGTGAATAGCCTCTCTGATAGCTTCTCTAGTATCATCAGGCAGCAGATGGATTGCAGTATTATGAATGCATATATGAAGATGGCGGAAGATGGTTTTGTGACATTTGTCATCAAGAAGATTAGCAGTGCGCTCGATAAGGCTAGCGTCCCTGATGATTCAGATGATGAGCCCACTAGATATCACTCCTCTTTCTCCTAAGAGGTGATCTATTTCTATAGCGTATTGCTGAGACATGATAGCGGATTCGAACAAGGCGCTGGTTTCAACTTGATCGATGATTGAAAAGTAGTCAGTAAGGATAGAGTCGTTGGTGAGGGTGGATTTGGACGATGGTGGGGAAGATGTGTTATTGGCGAGGTTAACAGTGGTGGCAGTTTACAATTGATGGGCTCTCTTATATGCAGAAAGGACATCTGTGGCATTGCTAAGGTTTTCTTCTGGGATCCATTCGTTACTGGTGGAAGAGTATCCTTTCCAGGATACTAGATAGTGTCTTCATTTACCTGTTCCTTTGTGCGATAAGATTGCATCCATTTCATATTCTTCTTCGTTATCGATGACGTCTGGGGGTGGATCATGGAAGTTCGGACCATGAACCTCTGTTTCATGATAGGACAATAGTTTGGAAGCATGGAACGTGGGGTGAACTTTCCACTGTGATGGTAACTGGAGTGTGAACGTGATGGGAGAGAGAACGGCAGTGATTGAGAAAGGGCCATATTGCTTCGGTGCGAGCTTCCGTGATGGTAACTGCGTGATTAAATTCTTTCCTGATAACCAAACTTTATCTCCTACTTTCCACAGATGATATTTCTGTCCATGGGTTCGTTCCGCCATTTGTTGCATAGCAAGGTTATGGCAGGAGAGTGCTTCTTCTCTAGATTTCTGGAGTGAGTGGAGTCTATCCTCTGCTGCAGGGATAGTGGAGTTAGGAAGGGTATGGGGAAGGGCTCTTGGTTCGTATCCCATCATTAGGAAGAATGGTGAGGCATTGCGAGAGTCGTGTTTTCGGTGATTATGCATGAATTCTGCCATAGGAAGATGTTCCACCCAATCTTCAGGGTGGTTCCTGCAATAGATCCAAAGGTAAGTTTCGAGTTCCTGATTAAGACGTTCGGTTTGACCATCAGTTTGGGGATGATAGGCGGTGGATGTGGATATATCGTATTTCAAGAGCTTGGCAAGGGCTTTTGAGAATTTTGACACAAATTGCGGTCCACGATCAGAAATGACTTTCTCATGGAAGCCGAATCGGGCGTAGACATATTTGAAAAATTTCTTGGCGACTCCTTCTGAGGTAATGGTTTTAGTACATGGGATAAGAATTACCCCCTTCATAAGCCCATGGTCTACCACGACCATGACAGAATCAAAGCCGGCACAAGGGGGAAGATCAGTGATCAGATCAACAGAGACTTGGGTGAATGGAGCTGCGGCGATGGATGGGATAGGGACAAGAGGGAGTGTAGTCGGATGGGATAGGGACGAGAGGGGGCGTAGTCAGATGGGTATCAGATTTCATCTGCTGACAGAGGGCGCAACCCTCGACGTATTTATGGATGTATGTGCCCATAGAGGGCCACCAAAAGTCCCGTTTAACCAATTCCTCAGTCTTAAAATGCCTGGGGTGACTGGCAGTGGGGTGATCATGACATCGTTCTAAAATAAGGCGCTGACCAGCAGGGCGGATGTAAGTGCGGTCCTTATAGTAAAGGATATCATCTTTGATAGTCCAATCCACAAGAGCAGATTTCATGGGGGGAAGGGAAAGGCCATCCAAGGTGTCGGAAGCAGCTTGGAAGATGGGGTTGGGGTTGGAGGGATTGGGGTTTGCAAGGGAGGTCATGAGTTCGATATCAAGGAGGCGGACGAACATGGAGTTGGGAAGAAGGGTTTCATCGGTATTATCCTCAGAGGAATCTGTTCCGTGGTCGGGGCAACAGGAGAGTGCATTGGGGGCGGCAAGTTTAGTTCCAGCAA